CGAGATAAGAGGATGATGGAGTTATATCAAAGTTAGATAACAACCTTGAAAATCAATTTGGTGTATTATGTAGTGTCTCAGTGGTTCTACTACCACTCACTAGTTTAGGATTCACTGGAAGTACTCATATGACTCAACATAAAATTTATTCATGGCTAAGATTTATTACAATATAATAAAAGCAGGAAAATGTATGTATAGGTGAAGACTATCAAACACAGGTTTTCTTATCCTCCCTTTGTGAAAATTGCACGGTCACATCTTTCTCCAGCTTCAAACTGCAAAGGTACAAGATGTCCTCATTGAGGAAAACAGAAGTTCCAAATAGGAAAAAATGACAGCATGAAGTCCTAACATATCAATGATTGCATTAAATGTAACTGGTCTAAATACACCAGTTAAAAGATACTGGCAGAGTGAATACAAATTCATGAACCAAGTATGTGTTCTCCAGAAGAAACTCACTACCAATATAATGATATAGGTAGGTTGAAAATAAAAGAATGGAAAAAGATAAACCATGAAATAGGCAGTTCTTTTAACAAACATACGCTTACCATATGACCCAGAAATCACACTCCTGAGAACTTATCCCAGAGAAATGAAGATCTATATCCACATAAGTACATACTCACAAATGTCAACAGCAGCTTTATTTGTAATAGCCAAAAACTGGAAACAATCCAAATGTCCTTCAGTAGGTGAATGGTTAAACAAAGTGTGATTTCTCCATGTCTGACTGCTGACAGCTTTATGCCTCACCCCTCCCTCTTCCCGTTGTGCCCTCATTTGGTGAAATGATAGAGAACTCTAGGTACTCCCTTATCTGCCACCATTAGGTGACTCAAACTACAAAGTCCCTGCTTGTTCCCAGGAACCCTCACTCTGGCGCCACCTCCTAACCACAGTAAAAGCTCAGGTCAGTGTCCTTTCCTTGATCTGTCAGGCCATTTTGGATCTGCTTGAGAGACCTGTTCTGCTCTCCTGCTCTCCCTGGAGACCTCAATTATATACGTAAGAAAACTTTTCTTGCCTGCTTGGTATATGTGTAGCATCATCATTCTCGACATCCAAACCTAACCTTGGGTGGAGCTTCCTCCTGCTTTTTTAGAGTTATGTAAAAGGAACAAACTATTGATACATATATTAACTTGGAATAACAAAGTTATTAATAAGGTAAAAAAGACATTATGCTGACTGAAAAAGGCGAGTCTTAAAGAGTCCCATACTGCTTGATTTCATATATATAACATTCTAGAAATGACAAACTTATAGAGATGTAGAAAAAATTAGTGATTGCCAGGGGTAGGGATGGTGAGCAGGAAAGGGTGTGCATGTGACTATAAAGGGGAACTGCAGCTTTGTGGTGGTGAAATAGGTCTGGATCTTGATAGCAGTGGTGTTTAAATGAATCTCCATGTTTGATAAAATGACAAACCAACTTACATTATAGTGAGGTTAGTTTCCTGGTTTTGGTACTGTGGTAGTGTAGTATAGTTACATAAACTATAACTGGGGAAATTGGATGAAAGATTCATGGGACTCTCTGTACTATCTTTGAAACTTCCTGTAAATCTATAATTATTTCAAAATAAAATGTTTTTAAAAATTAACCAAGTAGAGCTATATCCAGTAATATAGATGAATCTTAAAAACATGCAAGACTCCAAAACTACTAGAACTGATATCGGAATACAGCTAAGTTGCAGGATACAAAATTAATACAGAGAAATCTGAGGCTTTCCTAAACACTAACAATGAACTAATAGAAAGAGAAACCAGGAAAATAATTCCATTCACAATTACATAAAAAAGAATAAAATACCTAGGAATAAACCTAACCAAGGAAGTGAAAGACCCATACCCTGAAAACTACAAGACATTCTTAAGAGAAATTAAGGAGGACACTAACGAATGGAAAATCATCCCATGCTCTTGGCTAGGAAGAATTAATATTGTCAAAATGGCCATCCTACCCAAAGCAATGTACAGATTTAATGCAATCCCTATCAAATTACCAACAACATTCTTCAACGAACTGGAACAAATAGTTCTAAAATTCATATGGAAACACCAAAGACCCTGAATAGCCAAAGCAATCCTGAGAAGGAAGAATAAAGCATGGGAGTATCTCACTCCCCAACTTCAAGCTCTACTACAAAGCCACAGTAATCAAGACAATTTGGTACTGGCACAAGAACAGAGCCACAGACCAGTGGAACAAAATAGAGTTTCCAAACATTAACCCAAACATATATGGTCAATTAATATACGATAAAGGAGCCATGGATATACAATGGGGAAATGACAGCCTCTTCAACAGCTGGCGTTGGCAAAACTGAACAGCTACATGTAAGAGAATGAAACTGAATCACTGTCTAACCCCATACACAAAAGTAAATTCAAAATGGATCAAAGACCTGAATGTAAGTCATGAAACCATAAAACTCTTAGAAAAAAACATAGGCAAAAATCTCTTGGACATAAACATGAGTGACTTCTTCATGAAAATATCTCCCCGGACAAGGGAAACAAAAGCAAAAATGAACAAGTGGGACTATATCAACCTGAAAAGCTCTGTACAGCAAAGGACGCCATCAATAGAACAAAAAGGTACCCTACAGTATGGGAGAATATATAGAATATATTCATAAATGACATATCCAATAAAGGGTTTACATCCAAAATATATAAAGAGCTCCACACCTCAGTGAACAAAAAGCAAATAATCCAATTAAAAAATGGACAGAGGAGCTGAACATACACTTCTCCAAGGAAGAAATTCAGATGGCCAACAGACACATGAAAAGATGCTCCACATCGCTTGTCATCAGAGAAATGCAAATTAAAACCACAATGAGATATCACTTCACACCAATAAGGATTGCCACCATCCAAAAGACAAACAACAACAAATGTTGGTGAGATTGTGGAGAAAGGGGAACCCTCCTACACTCCTGGTGGGGATGTAAATTAGTTCAACCATTGTGGAAAGCAGTATGGAGGTTCCTCAAAAAGCTCAAAATAGAAATACCATTTGACCCAGGAATTCTACTTCTAGAAATTTACCCTAAGAATGCACCACTCTAGTTTGAAAAAGACAGATGCACCCCTATGTTTATCGCAGCACTATTTACAATAGCTAAGAAATGGAAGCAACGTAAGTGTCCATCAGTAGATGAATGGATAAAGAAGATGTGGTACATATACACAATGGAGTATTATTCAGCCATAAGAAGAAAAACAAATCCTACCATTTGCAACAACATGGATGGAGCTAGAGGGTATTATGCTCAGTGAAATAATCCAGGCGGAGAAAGACAATTACCAAATTATTTCACTCATATGTGGAATATAAGAACAAAGGAAAAACTGAAGGAACAAAACAGCAGCAGAATCACAGAACCCAAGAAAGGACTAACAGTTACCAAAGGGAAAGGGACTGGGGAGGATGGGTGGAAGAGAGGGAGAAGGCGGGGGAAGAAGAAAGGGGGCATTATGATTAGCACGTATAATGTTGGGGGGGCATGGGGAGGGCTGTGCAAACACAGAGAAGACAAGTAGTGATTTTACAGCATCTTACTATGCTGATGGACAGTGACTAATGGGGTATGTCGGGGGGACTTGTTGAAGGGGGGAGTCTAGTAAAAATAATGTTCCTCATGTAATTGTAGATTAATGATATCAAAATAAATAAAAAAAATAACATGCAAGGCACCAAGGAATTATTTACTGTAGTATTTCATATAGATAAAGAACTAAGAGGCAAAACTCGATTATATTGTTTAAGCATGTACACATAGGGGATAAAACTTTAAAAAAATCAAAGAACTGATGACCATAGAAGTCAAAATAGTAGTTACCTCTGGAGGGGGAGGTGAGGGTTGTGGTCTGGATGTGACACACAGAGAGGTTGTTTTCTTGTCCATGTTTTGTTTCTTGGCCTGGATGGTGGTTACACTTCTGTTCATATTATAATCACTATAATCACTGAACTGTACCTTTATGTTTCAATCACCATTGTACATGTGGGCTATTTCACCAAAAAAAATTTTTAAGAGAACATAGGAAGAAGGGTTAACCTTGGAAAGGAATAAAAACACTTTTTCCCAGTGAGACGGGCAGAAAAGAAGGAAAGATGAATGAATGTGTAAATATAATTTCAATTGAAGGGAGAAAAGTATTTTCCCTATGAAATATAGAAGAAAGTTAAGCTAAGAATGCAATGGAGATATTAAGGAAATCGGCAAAGATTTAGAACTACAGTTTACAGGAATGGAGAAGTGACTACCACACTAAATAAGGATTGCCCAGCAATTTGAAGCCTTCAGTGAAATTGATTAACACACATTTATGATTGCCCATCAAGAAAACTCATCTAAGCAAAATTTAATGGTGTTCAACATGTTCTATGAGGCCAATGAAATGTGTAATTTATTTGGGAAAGAGGTCTATCAGAATGGATTAAGTATTTAAAAGATTTGGGTTTTAGAATAGTTAGTATATATCTAGGCATTCTGAGAATTTAGGAACAAGGTCATGGAAAGACCAATCTTTTGGGTTCTACAAGATCAAATTAGCATGAAGTGAATGGTAGTAGTCATCTACTAATGTACTGAGTAAACTTGAAAATACCCTGTTCAAATCTCAGTGTATCTTGAAGATGAGAATATAATTAGAAGAAATGACAAACGTTGATTACAGCATATCTTGACTGTATGTAAGACTGTATGTAATTCTTTTCTAGGTATGGAAAAAAATGTTATATTACTTAAAACTGAATGAAACTAGGCTGATTTAAATTTAACCATTGTATCCAACCTGTGACTTTCCTTCTTGTCTTAATAAGGAATTGAAATTTATCTAATTTGCTAACTGAAAATGTTGTCATTCCCTATGTACTTGTTTTACGCAATTCTGCTTCATGGTGTCTTTATGTTTACTTTCATTCTGTGAAATCTTTCAGCCAGATGTGTTACCATAACACTTTTTTTATTCAGATGGGCCAATTTTACTATTCAGCCAAAGCATTTGATGTCTTAGAGAGGCTGGATCCCAACCCTGCATATTGGGAAGGCAAGAGGGGTGCCTGTGTGGGCATTTTCCAGATGATCTTAGCTGGAAGAAAACCCAAGTAAGTAAACAGACAAGAGATACTTTCTCTGTTTATTTGCTGTTCTGGAGGGAATAGAAGTGTTTCCTTGGGTGGCATCATCTTTTGAAAACTCAAACTTATAATGATGTTTTAGAATGATGAATAAATGGTTAAGATGTTTTAGATTTCTGTCTGACATGTTCCTCCAGAAATTTTTTATTTTGTATAATCAGATCATTCTAAGTCACATATACTGAAGGCATTGAGTTTGTCTGTCAAATATTTTTTGCTCTTATTAATAGTAATCTCAATTACTATTTTCATAAACAAATTGTTAATCTCTTCTACTCTTTTCTTTGCCTGTAGGCTTTTTCTTGTGTGTTTTAGTTTAGGCCTCAAAGACTTAGGAATGGAGTGGGTGTAGTTAATAATTCTTTCTCTTTTTTCTTTAGCCTTCTCATATTTTAGGTAATAGGTAATACTGAGACATTAGATTACATAAAATTAAGTGGCATATAGCTTCATTTGTAACAAAAGTTAAAATACTAAAAGTGATATTCAGTTTTCTAAAAATAACTTCATAGAATGGATTGTTACTGATGTATGAACAGATGTGATTGTTTTTATAAATAATCTTTCAAAAATTACTTCCTGCCTTGTATCTACTTCCAATCCTAAATAAAAGTTTGAAAGAATTTGGTCAGGTAGGAGAAGATGCTTGAGGGGAAAGAAGACATAGGAAATATGAGAGACTTCTTAGGGAAGATCAGTAGGGAGTTGCCTATAAATTCGATAAAACAATAGAGCGGTTTTAGTATGTACTACTTAAAACATTAGCTTTAATTAAACTTAAATTACTTAAAAGATAAATACTAGGCATTTGTTAAATCTTGATTCCTAACTTCTTTTCCATATTTATTACTATATTATTTTTCTTGAAGAAATCATCCATTCCTCTTGCTTTGTAAAATTTTACAAATATGGCAGTGACCACCTTAAACAAACGAGAAATCCGACTTAGACAAGTCAAGTGACTTATCAGTATGGGGCTTGAATTCGAACCCAGCTCCTTGATACACACTCTTTCTACTATGTCATGCAGAATAAACATAGAACTGGAAATATCTGTCATATTAGGACGAAAAGACTAATAGCATTACTATAGAGAGTATTAGTAAACAAGGGAAGCTTGGGTCGGTGAGATGGGTTTCACAGAATTTTCATTTTTTGATGCCACCATAAAAGTAGAAGAGTAGGAAGTTTGTACCTGGCTTATGAATACACTGAAAGACTATTACCAAAGATGCTGTATTAGAAGCATTTGAAGAACGGTTACAAGTTTATTTTACTTGTTAATTTACATTCTTTATTAATACACTTTGCCCTTTCAAATCTTTTCCTCAGAGAAACCCTTCGAGAAGTGCTGCATTTATTGAGAAGCACAGGCAACACCCAGGTAGAGTACATCATCCGGATCATGAAGAAATGGGCCAAAGAGAACAGAGTGCCGGTCTAAGACACAGCTCCGGGGTCCTAGGAAACCAGTCACCACCTGACTTAAGTTGGAAATCATTTTCCTCCAGTTTAACGTAAGATGCAGGGCTCTATTTTATTGGTATTTCCATCCTTGCTTTTCAAGTCTCAAGAGCAGTGACTAGCTCGCTTACCTAGCCTCCTGGCTGAACCAAGTGCCGCAGTCAGCGCTGCGGCCCACGTGATCCAACTAGCAATAAAACTGGACTTGTCTGGTGCCTTTCTTCCAAAAATACTCAAGAGTACTCTTCTGGAATATACTGGCTTTAAGGAAAGTAGCATTACTTTTCTCTGTATTAGCATTCCATGGCATTTTCTCCTAACTGCTATAACAAATGCCTTTAGTGCTCAAGCACCATCATTCTATCATTTTAATTTTAGCCATTTCTGTATATTATGCTGGAGAATTCCAGAAAGAGTTTTTTGTAATGCCTCTATGAATCTTGGGAGAGCAGGGGTTATAAATAGCTAGCTATATGATTCTAAAAATGGCAGTAAGATCCTTTATGGAACTGTCCAGTCATTAAGAGTTAATAGGCTTATGGGATTACTCTTTCAGTAATTGAATTCTTGATAACAACATGTTACAGTGGAGTAACTTGCATGTTGCAGTTTTAAAAGGTGAGTACTATGAAAAAATCTATGTGGTACACTTAGTAGTATTTAGGAAATTAAGTTCAAATTTCATTAGTCACCTCCCCATTATATTTTAGGTAACAAAACAAGTTAGGTTTTTTCTTCATGTATCTTGCTAAATAAACATGAATTTTGAAAGCAGGCTGCAAAGATTATACATACACATTGTGGCTATTTATTAACGTAATGATACTAGAACATGGATTGTGTAAAGCCTTTGTGGGCCCTCCTAATGATGGCTGGAATCTCTGTCCCGAGTCATATTCCAGCCCCATGTTTCTGAGCTCTCACAACATAAGCCTATTATACAACTGAACATTTTTAGGCTCATGACCCATTTTCAGAAAACAGACCTACATGTTTTTATATACCAGATTACCTTTGTTCCTACACCATATAATTTTTTTCTATTAGTTTAAGGTACCTAGTATAGCAGGTGTACAAAGTGCAGAGCCATCCTTATCCAGCATGAAAACTGAAAGAAAGTCGTAATTTCCTGAAGCACCAAAGACAGAGGAATTCCTATCAGGACCGCATCAGGTGTCCCCCACTCACCACAGCCCCAGCACCGCACTGTGGGTGAAGCAGCAGCACAGACGGGGGATGGAAGTGTGGCAGGAGGCAGAGCGGCTAAGGGGACAGATAGATGCCCACAGATTGCCTTTGCCTTCTGGACAGTTGCAGGGGTTCCTTCTGCTCCCTTAAGGAGGATGGCCAGTTTTCCTTTTATCTTAGACCCAATTCTGTCAGTTCAGAGCACATATCAGAATAGATTGGCCTGAATAACTGAATTAAAGAAAAGAAAGGTACAGCATTTTTCATATACCAGAGCTTCTGTTTCCTCATTATGTTGGTCCTACTTTTTTAATAATTGATTATCAGCAACTAAGGTCCTGGGTGGGTCCTGGCAGAACCTACTACAATTTTTAGAATCCTTCTGGTGATTCTTGCTTACCTCACTTTAAAATATTAGGAAACATAAGAGGGGGTAAAGACAGATATAATTTGTCTTTCGGCAATTAAATTCATCTTCCAATTAATTGCTATTATTTTCAAATTTCCTATACTTGAAAATCAGCTTTTCTATTGATGGTAGTTTACGTTTACATGAGCTTTTGTTGAGTTTAACACTAACTTCTCTCTGCCATTTTCCTGCTTTTGGGGAAAAAAAATACTCCAAAAATAACAATTCCTAGAATTTTAGACTAATTTTTAAAGAAGTTTTTAATCTGTAGAATTGAGCCAGAAAAACCATAAAGACTAGTTTAAGAGAGCTACCATCCAATTATGTTACTGAGGATAGCTACTTCTGAAATGTCTTGGTAGTCTCAAGATCGCAAAGTAGTGTAGCATGGCTATTTTTCTACATGTGATGACATAGAGAAGGTCCACACTTAGGAATGTAGTGTAATGTGTATAGTTCAGAGCATCCATGTGCTATTTATAGTCTGTAGCAAATATTACTTGAAAAGGAAAAAATTTTTAATTATTTTTGTACTTCAAAATAATTATATTCTCTGTAATATATTCAAATTAAAGTTTGTCATTGGGTTCTTATTATGATATTCATTTGAGTATGGAGAGTACAGATCCTACCCTGCATATGTCATGTGTGTTTGCCTTTCTTTTCCTGGCTCCAGAGTGAAGGGGAAAAACAAAGTTTTGGGCTCCATGAGTTACTTTTTATAAGAGAGTAAAGTAGATATTCCCTAAGCAGCCCTGTCCACTAAGGTTCATGGTTTCCTGTTCAATCATATTAGGTTTGATTCTTTACTGAGTTACAGCCCATTCCAGAAGTTGTATGACCAGTGCATAGTACAATGCCTTGCATATAGAAAGCTCTCAAATACTTGTTGACTGATTAAACATATAGTAGCTAGTAGAGCAGGGGAATTGTGAGACCTGACCTCATATATTCTGGTTCCCGTTTAACTATTGCTTTGTGTGCCAAGCATATACTAGGTGCTGGGAATGCAAAGATAAACACACAGCCCTAACCCTTAAGGAACTCAATCAGAAGTATACACAACTAAACACAATAGCATACTTACTGTCATTAGTAGGAACAAAGTACTGAGAGATAAAATAAGGCAATGGAATATTTGTATCCATGTAAATGGGACACTTCCTGCCTCATTTGGGAGAAGCAATCAGCATGGATACTGAAACTCAACAGCTAGCAAGATGTTCAGGCTTCTGCCATGTGTGCAGCACATTAAACAAACATCCAAGTACGCAGAAGCCAAAGGACTGCTTTCATCCTTTCTGGTGTGGTACATTTAAAAAATTGCAAGCAGGTTAGCATTGTATCATAATAGTTACACCTATTTCCTGATGGTAAAAATGAATTAGTGATTTATTAGTTCCTTTAGGACTCTTAATATGACTTAGATAAATAGTCATCTCTCTTCTTCATTCTATAAAATACCTCTAAGGTTTATATGTATTTTATGTAATGTTCAAACAGTATTCTGCCTATTTAGTGAGGCTCTCAGAGAAGCAGAGCTAGAGACCTGATAATGTGCCTGTCACCTACCTTAACTGGACTGCAGGAATATGTGAGGAATATAAGCACACGATAATGCTAAATGAATACAATCAGCTGATAAGGTGCACAGTGAGTGTGCAGCGTATATATAAACAAGTTTGTACTTTATTTTGCAGCAAAACGCTTTCTCTTAATAAAATCTAGGTCAATACACAACTAGGGACTGCCCTGGTGGCCAGGGCAGAGGGAGGGGGAGCAGCAGACAGCAGGTCCACCGCTCAGGCTGCCCCTCTCAGGGTGCACAGTTTACAAGCCTCAGAAAAGGAGTAAGTATCCGGCCAGGTGAACCTCAGATAAGAGGACAATGGGGAGCAGATTTTGGCATCCACAGCTTAAACTAGGGATTCTTGAATTTGATTTGTTGTATTTTTTGCATATTCACTCATGTATTCCTGTATTCATTTGGTCAGTTACTTGTATCCCACTATGATTCAGAAAAGATTTGAGATAAATTACCAAAAAATTTAACAAAATTTGAGTTAAATAGAAGGCATTTAAGAGTAGAAAGCCAAAAGTTAAGTTCATATGCAAAAGTACATACCAGAATTACTAAAGTTGGGCCAGAAATTCACCTTCATGCTTCCTACCAACTAAAGCAAAGGTTGAAGCACAACCAGATAAAAAATTCACAGTCCATCTGTGTGAACTAACTCCTTAAGGGGAAGAAAAAGCTAGATTCTTGGTGATCTTTGATGGTCCATGGGGTTCTGGATTAGATTTTCTGCTCTGTAACTTAGACCTAACTACATGCTTAACAAAAATATCAAGGGATACTTACTATTTCTGTAAACATGTACAGGTGTTTCCTATATGTACTGTTAAATAATTACACTAGCCTTCCTATTTTTAATTTCTTCTATGAACATATTATAGTCTTCATGGCCAATTTTTGAGAAGTAGTTATTAATATGCTGAGTCTGAGACATGTTATTCAAATTGAAAAAATTACAAGCATGTTAGGATGAAAATGTAGGTAACGGTGACCCCAAGAATAACTGCATGTACTGTAAAAGCGATGAGATGAAGAGATTGTGTAGTTTATGCATTTACTGAGGAGTATTGTGGAGTAGGTTAAATGGAAAAGGCTACACCAGGGAAGTGAATCTTAAGCTGGAACTTGAAGTACAGAATTTAACTAGGCAGAGAATATGTAAACTAAGTCATGCCACCTGCAGATAACAGCACAAATGAAGCCGTGAGTATTATTTTCAGATGTTTCACCTTAACTTTGTTTCCATTTATCTTTTTTCGTATAAAGGTAAATTGTTCTTTGAAAAACAGTATGGCCTTATTTGTAAACTCATCATTTCATACTGTGACCCAGCAATTCCACTTTTAGGTGTATGTCTAAGATGTACTCCTGTACATGTACCTGAAGATATGTAGAAGAATGATCCTCAGAGCACTGTCTCCAGGAAAAGCCTGGAAACAACCCAAGTGCCCACTGACAGGAGAGTGGATAAATAAACTGGTAAAGTCACAACAGAATAGTTTTAAAAATAAATGAATTACAGCCTCTTACAACAATACAAGTGAATCTTAGCAATATATAGCTTACAGTAATAACTGTATAAGGCAAAAACAACTCGAATACAAATATGCAATCAAAAGGAAGCAGGAAAAATAATGAATAAAGAGGTCAGGGTGAAGGTCACCAGGACTGTGGGAGGTAGGGGCAGAGGAAATGAGAACACAGAGATGGGTATGTTATCAGCAAGGGTCTAGTTTTCATGTTGGGAGGTGAGCCACAGGAGTTTATGCCTTAATAAAAATAACCTATAAATAAATATATAGTTAAGTAGAAGAGGAAAAATTACGAGCAAATTTATGACCAACCCAATCCTGTGCACCTGAAGTAAAACAAAATACATAAACTTTTTTTTTCCTCATAATGAACATGTAATAGCTTGAACTTGGATATAATTTTTTTTAAATGCTTGAGGTATCATTGATATACAATCTTATGAAGGTTTCACATGAGCAACATTGTGGTTACTAAATTCACCCTTATTATCAAGTCCCCCCACGAACCCCATTGCAGTCACTGTCCATCAGTGTAGTAAGAGTCATTACTTGTCTTCTCCGAAAACGCATGAACATTTTAAGAACAAGGAAATACTCCTAAATGTAAACCATGATTATCTTCAAATCATGGAATTAGTTAACTATACTTCATATTCTTTTTTTCTTTCTGTATTTTCCAATCTTTCCACAATAAGTACATGCTATTTGTATTATAAAAAGACCATTAAAATAATTATATTTTTTAAGCCAAAGAAGAGATCTTTAGTTTGTACCTAATAAAATTAATAATTCCTTCCTATCAGTCCTTATTCAAATTCCCCCCCCTGTCCCCAAAGCGGTTTACTAGAATTAGGATCCAAACTAAGTCCAGCATTGCACGTAGCTCTTGCATCACTTGCACTTATTTTTTTAAGTTAGCATCCCCTCCCCACTTTTTCCCAAGCCGTTGAGTTGGGAGTAACTTGGGTCATTTGTGTTGTGGGATATCACACATTCGGAATTTGGTTGATTGCTTCCTCATAGCATTGTTGAACTTGTTCCTGTATCATTCAACTTGCCCTTAAAAGTCATTAGATCTGCTAGAGGGTATTATGCTCAGTGAAATAAGCCAGGCAGAGAAAGATAAATATCAGATGATTTCACTCATCTGTGGAATATAAGAACAAAGGAAAAACTGAAGGAACAAAACAGCAGCAGACTCACAGAACCCAAGAATGGGCTAACAGTTACCAAAGGGAAAGGGACTGGGGAGGATGGGTAGGAAGGGAGGGATAAGGGGGGAAAAGGGGCATTATGATTAACACACATAATGTAGCGGGGGGTCGAGGGTCGGGGGACACGGGCAAGGCAGTATATACAGAGAAGACAAGTAATGATTCTATAGCATATTACTACACTGATGGACAGTGACTGTAATGGGGTATGTGGGGGCAACTTGATAATAGGGGGAGTCTAGTAACCATAATGTTGTTTAAGTAATTGTACATTAACGGTAACAAAAAAAAAATCGTTAGATCTTTAGACTGAGTAGATTCAAGTTGATTTTATGCTTCTTAGTTGATGTGTACTTTCTGCTGTATTATGTCAGGAGATCAGAATGTCTGTTCTCCTACTTCAGAAGAATTCTATTCTCATTAGTAGACCTGTAGTATAAAAAATTGTAGTCATTATTATTATATGTTTACCTTAATCAATACGAAATTTGTGGAAATTTGTTTTCTCTCATCATATAAGTAGCTACATAATATTCTCAATTTTAACTCTTGGGCTTCAAAGCTTAAAATATTTACTATCTATCTGGCATAAAACAATAAAAAAGTTTGTTGACTCCAGCTCTAGAATATTGCCTTATCCTTGCATGAAACTTTCATGCAAGGTATGGTGGGAAAACGTAAAAGGACAAATTGTTGAGACTTCACTGAACCTTCACACTGCATGATTCCACTTACATGAGGTAGCTGAAGTAGTCACATTAACAAACCAAAAAGTAGAATGGTGGTTACCAGGGGCTGGAGAGGGGGGAAGTAGCTATAGAGCTTTAGTCTCCAAGATGGAAAAGTTCTGGAGATCTGTTTCACAACACTGTGAAGATACTTAACACTACTGAGCTATGCCCTGAAAAATGATTAAGGTGGTAAATTTTATGTTTGGATTTTTTATCGTAATAGAAAAAGTAGTAAAGGAACATAAAAAGATATGCCATACAAATACTAATCAAAAGAAAGCTGGAGTGGGTACGCTAATAAGACAATGTGTACACCTCAGAACAAGAGCCCAAGGAAACCACTCGACTCATTTGCCTTATTTTTGAATTGAATATTGATTGATCCCATATCTTTGAACAACTGTTCTTGCCAAAAGGCTAATTTATTATTTTTTGTATATACATGTTTTTATCAGCTGCTACATGCAAACACAATTAGCTCACCATTGATAAACAGCTTTCTTTGCTTGGCTAACAAATAAACCACTCAGAAAATTGCTTTGTTTGCAGTCTTATTTTTATTTCTTATTTTTGTGAAGAAATTCTGCTGTGAGGAAATATCATTTAAAATTTCCTAACTTGTTTCTAACTTAGCTTTCCTGTGAGCTGGGAATATTCTGATGATTGCTTAATCTGGAAATGTGACATATACTGTGTTCATTTAGTACCACTACAGTGTCATTACATGATAAGCATAATGCTTTCCCACTTCATTTGGCACAAAATAATTCACACTCCACTGTGCCTTAAAGGCTCTAATACCACAGCCTGAGGACCCATTGTCAGGGGTTCTCTATCAAGTGTGTCAATCCTAATTATATTAAAAGAAGGGAAATGACCACCAGGTGGGTCTGCAGACCGACAGATCCTCAGTAAGATGGACTTTGGCCAGGACTGCATTTATTACATCATCCTGTGCACTAACAGTGGGGCCGTTATAGGTTCTGGGTTTCTGTGTATCTATGCCAACCAGGACCCTGTGTCTCATAGTCCTCAAAAAAGCTGGGTGTTCCTTAGCTTACTGTTATCTGAGTAAATGGCCATAGGTCCTTTTAGTGATAGGACTGGGGAAATCATGAAATACATACATGAACTCATACCATTCTATAAGTTTTGACAAATGTGTACAGTCATGTAACAGTCACTAGATGATAAATTGTTTTTGTGTTTTGTATAATAAAGCCATTTTTTAAAAAAGAATCCCATGTTTCGGTTCATGCTTACTCCCTGTGGTCACAACCACCATTCAGAAACCAGAATTAGACCTGGGCAAATGTCCACAGATTCAGCAGAACTAAGATAAAAAAGAAAATTATAGGAACATTGTGACAAAGAGAACTAAAGCTTCTGGTGCCAGGAGGCTGGCACACGTTGCAAACAAACAATATGAAATGTGATAGATAAATGGCATTGGACTTCTCAATAGCAGCTCTGGAAGCTATAAAACAGTGTTGCAATCCCTTAAGAATTCAGGGGTTGGAGGACAATTATTTGCAATTAGAAACTGTCATTCAAGTATGTAGTAGAGCAAGTATCTTTTCAGACATGTGTATAACATAAAATTATCTCCTGAACTGTATGTTCCCCCAAAAGTATGGGAACAAACTAAGGAAAAAAGACATAGCATGGAAGAAATGGGGCTCCACATTAAGAGAGGGTGAATGGACATATTTCAAGAAAGCTGTGTAACAGTCCCAGAGATCAACTGATACAGACTGCAGCAGGTCAGAAGGCTCCAAGGGAGATTCATTCAAGATTAAACATATACCTCACCTATTAGCACAGTGAGAATTGGGTGAGAATTTGAAGATAAGCTATACAGAAAACAAAGCAAATGAGAAGAAAATTAGTAAAGTGTACAGGAGAGAAAAATCTAACATACTTTGGGGCTCAGGTATAAACAGTGTTAGATGGTCACAAAACTGTAAGCACAAACACTAATTCAACCAAAATTCAATAGTATTAGGAAGGGGGGATGGGGAATGTCTGTATATGGGTGTGTGTGTGAGAAAAAGCTAAAGCTTCACATTTCATTGCACTATGTAAATGAAAAAAGTGTCTACGATCTAGTTCTGAGAAGCAGAGGACAAGCAAACCAAAGAATCACAGAGACAAGCCATATTTGCAGGAAACACTTTGCCTTGTAGCAGAGAAAACCTCTTTGTGAATAGCTCCACAGCTGCTTATCCAAGGAGGTGGCAAGTGTAAATGCCAAATCCTCAGTCATAAGGTAAACACCTGCCAGGTGAGCACCTGGCCCCAGGGGCACCCCCGACACGCATATTCACAAAATAGCTTGTGCAGGAAAAGTCAACTCCCTCAAATATGAGTAACCAAAACAAACAACACAGCTAAGGGTCTATACAAAAATTAAAATTAACACAGAGAGAAGGGAGGAAGAAAGAAAGGAAAGAAGTCAAATGGTGGACCAAAAAATCACTAGAAAATAAGTGATTTGTATATGAAAGCTGTAACTAAATATTTTATTCTAACAGAAAGGTACAAAATAGTGGTATTCATTGATATCTCATCTTTAAAGTATCATTAAAGGCAATAAATCAAGAAGTAAGTATATAAGTGTATTTTATTAATACCAAGTTAAATCTAAACTGTAGAGAAAAAGAAAATACATAAACTTCATCACAGATAATAGTATAAAATTACAATGTCTACAGAAGTTGAGAATTAAACGCAGTATAAAATCATCCCATCGGAACAAAAATTTAAACCTTCCAAATTATCAGAAGTGACATACATAACACAAAGAAAATGAATCAGTTCATGGAGGATTTTTCGAAAGGTTTCAAGGAGAAAGTGTGATAAAATAATGTGACAGATGTATGCTCCAACATACCTTTCCTGTCAAAAATGTCAGTGGGTTTAACTCACTTCTTAAAGGAAAAGAGTGGCAAATTGCATCACAAAGAAAAACCTAACTCTAATGTTTACACATAACTTGATAATAAAAAGATGGCAATAGCACAATTAGGCAAATACAAATAAAAAGACAGCAGGTGTCACAACTAAACAGGATTGAATCCAGGACAAAATCATTAAGCAAGTCAAACACACTTTGAATGATAAAGGACCCATTGCTCATATAATAGTTATAAATATGCAACAAAGGAAATTGTGTCACCATTCAAAACACCAAGTGTTAAGAATTACAAGGACAGTAGTAGCAGATTGTGATTCATCATAGTTGAAATGAAAAAGAGTAAGTAAGGCATACAGGGAACTTCAGTATCACAACTGATAAGGAATATATTGTTAATATTTTCCACTGATGGTGATTTATTTTTAATGAGCTTTACTTTTACGTGAGCTTTTGTTATTATTCCCATTCTATAAACTAAGGCACTGGATGCTGAAGTTGCTTGTGCCAAACTGTTTACAGTCAGTAAACAGGAGTCTCAAAAATAGAGCCAAAGCAGATGTTTTCTAATCACAGTGTCATAAAAGTAGAAGTTAATAATAAACCCAGAGAACTGAGAACCCTGCTACCTAAGCATTTTAATAAATAAATAAATAAAACCAGTTAAACAACCAACCAAAAATAAATAAAAAAAATAAATTAAAAATGACCCCCCTATACTGAATTTTATTGTTGTTAACAACCATTTGATCAATAAATATGAGAGATGCCCTCTCAAAAAAAAAAAATAAAATAAAATAAATAAAAAAAACAAAACCCTCTCAGCTTTTGGGTAAAAGAAAATTCAAACATATTCAGACTGGACAAGAGATTAAGCTCGGAGGACAGGTTAAGGTCTTGAATCCTTATATTAATAAACAGAAAACATCAAAATGAATGACTTAAGCATCTTATCAGGAATAAAAAGAACATTGCAATAAACATAAGGACTCCACAAAGAAAAATGAATATGCTCTGAAACCAGTGAATTTAAAACTGAAAAAATGCTTAAGTAATTGAAGGAGTTGGTTCTTTGAAAACAAAACAAAACAAAACAGATGAACCTTTATCTAATGAATCAGGCTTGGGGGAGAGAGAGCACAGGACATACAAGTTAGTCCAGTTCCGGTTTCCACCAGCAGTGAATGAAAGTGTTGCCTACCCTCAGCAACAAATTATTACCAATTTTTTTTCTATTTGTCCACCTAATACTTGAAAAATAGTATTTCTTCATAGGTTTTTAATGTTTGCACTTCTGATTTGGGGATACAGTCTTGCTAGCAGGGGAACCAGTGTTTTGTTTGAGTCATGAAAGAAGTTGGGAGCTTCCTCCGTTTATATATACTGTGCCACCTCAAATGATACGAAGCCTATTCTATAAATGCCTGGCAGAATTTCCCTGGGAAACTACTTGGTCCTACTCTTTTTGTTTGTTTGTTTTGATTGGGGGCTGAGCTCTCTGGCAATGTTCTTGATTTCTTTTATAGTAATTGGTCTGGATTTTTTGTCATTTCTGGAATCAGTTTTGTTATATCTGTTATATTTTTTTCTAGGATAAGCCATCACCGTGATTCACAGGGATTTTACCATGAAGTATCATCCAGAATTTTGTTTTGCCATCTCATATTGTAGACTTCAGGTGGGCTGCCTGGCAGGCCCCTTACCCTTTCTTGGAACAGCACCTTCCCCAGCCACCACCCCATCCCAAGCTCCTGGTAGCCATACCTTCCTCTCAGTTGTTTGGGCTGTGAGCACCTGACCCTAATTAGGCTGGTCAGAGAAACTTCTCTATGATTTTGGAATTGAGTGTAAAAGTTTCCTCTCTTTGTCTGGGCTGGTCTTTCCAACCTAGATGATGTAAAAAAAAAACAAAACTGGGGAAGCATAACAAGGCCATATTTTTAATCACGTAACATGGGAAACTTAAAAGCTAGTCCATAGAGAAAAGAGAGCAGAATGAAACAGATCTGAGACACAAGCAGGAATGAAACAATATTCCTGATGTCTATATAGTTTTGCTAATACCTAATTCTGGTTCCATCTCCTGGGGCCTGATTGCATTCTTTCCCAGGGGTTCTGGAAGTACTCCTGCATTTCCTTTATAATATCCTCTGAGTAGGTAGTGAGCTTATATTAATTTATTTTATGATACTTGAAACCAAAAGTTCTAATTTTATTTAGGTCTACTTCCCTCTGCCCCTTTTTCAGCCCTATTGGGGCAGGGTAGCTCATTCCATTCAGGCCATTAGAGTCCATCTCAAACTCTACAGCCATGCCTTCCCTTGTTCTGTTTATCCATATCCTCATCCTGCTTAAGAAGTAAGTTCCTGTTTCTTCCGTAAAGTTTTCCTAACTATTCCAAACCTTTTGATTCCAAATCAAAAGGTTTGTATGTCCATGTACATTTGTATATTGGGGGCAGGAGCAGAAAGATGTTTGCCCAGTTTTGGCAAATAACACTCAAAGCTTTTTCCAACTCAAGCATCAGACTTTCATAGAGAATCTTTTACTACTCCTGCTTCTGCAGCATGATATTCCCATGGTTACAGTCTCATGAAGTTGTTTGAGACTAAATCTACTATTGGTTTAATATTTCATTATTTATAGCACACTTTGCAACAAAACAGGTTCTGCTTAAGGAAATATTCAACATGAATTCCATGACATTTCCCTTTGGAAAACAGAAAATGATTATAAGCATTAAAGCTGACGAATATACCGAATGCCCATTAATAAGTTCAATGTATAAACAAATTGTGCTCTATACATACAAGAAATATTATGCATAGAAGGAATACTGGCCCACAGATCACCAGTTTGCTGTCTGAGATAAATTAAATATGAGTTAAGCATAGTATTTACTTTGTAGGTAAGTTTCAGTTAGAACAGAGAGAATTATATAATTTAAAAAACTCAGTGTTTTAGCAGCATTTATATAGCCCCACTGCAAGACTGGCAGGAATAAAGACTGAGGATAGACTTAAGTGCTACTAAAACAGTCCAGAAATGACAACCCTAATGCGATCAGGACCAATGGGTAACACAATGGAGGTAAAACAGAGTACCAAGAAAAAAAAATGATAGTAATTTAGAGCTGGGAGGGACCTCTGGAACCATCGGTTCCATCGCCATCTTCATACGAATAGGGAAAGTAATTGGAAAGCAAAAAACTGAAGCTCCTCAGGATTTATGATGTCACACTGACTGGAGTCATCAATAATGTTAACATCGTTAATCCGGCTAATGGTATTAACAGAAGGCGCGGATTCCCTTTAGTATGTGGAGGCCAAACCCTCAAATTTGCTCTCTACTGAAAGGTTTAAAACGGACAGAAGCTTTCATCCTTTAAAACTTGAATTCTATTTAGTTAATCACCGGTATGCCTACAAAGCATTACCAAGCACGGCTCCTGTCCTACCCCAAAAGGGGTCTTTTAAGCATTCTTCTTTCAGAGAACACATCCCCTAAAATACCAGAGAATCGTCTTGAGAAGTTTATTACTTTTAGGAGCTTAGGTTTTATAAAAGGGTCCAGAACTGTTCATTTGCTTGTTCAGTTTCCCAACTACAAAGCCTTATTAGGCACTTTACGACCGTGCCACACAGAATCCCTACCACGGCCGGGCGAGGAAAACAGGCGTCGGTCTAGGAAACGCAGGCATGTGGGAGTCGGGGCTGCGCTCTGCGGAGGGAGGCCGCAGGGCGAGTCGGCTGGAGCTAGCCTTTTCCTTTCTTGGGGCCGCGGGGGCGCCGGGCGGGCAGCCGGCGGCTGGTCCTCGCGTCCCTCTACACTTTCTCCGTAACAGCCTTGACCAACCAGCTGACAACCCCAACCCTCTAGAGCTGAGAGAGGTCAGCGTGTGTCAGGCAGGATCCGGCGCCATGACGCAGTCGGCCTCAGGCACATCCAGACTCTCTCGCCCCTAGGCGAGCCCCACGCGCGCCTCCAATTTCCGGGGCGAATATGAAGCTTCTCGGAAATCTCCAGACCCCCTCCCTTTTAGAAAGGGCGCAGACAGCGTCTTCGTTTCCAAGGAAACTAGCTCTACCGCTACGTCACTTCCGATGACCTGTCTGGATTCCAGACTGTTGGAGGAAAAGAGGAAAACTGAGCCACAGCCACGACGGTGGACGCGAGCGTCTCCGGTCTGCGCATGCGCCCGCTCAGCGGCTTGCTTCTATTTATGTGGGGGATCCAACATGGCGGCTGCGGCGACCCTGGCGATGGCGGTGGAGCTCATCAGAACATAGTAGCGGGGAAGGGGGCACGGTCCTCACTCACGGTGGCGTCGGCGGAGACAACTGAGGGTGGTGGAGGGAAGAAAAGCGACGGAAAGCAAAAGGAAGGGCGGGCAGGCAAACAACTCGGCGTAAAACCGAGCGCCGGTTCGGGCGAACGCAGAGGGCCAGAACAGTGGGGATGGCGGAGCCACGCAGAGTAGCGTTTATTAGCCTGTCACCGGTGAGACGGCGCGAGGCCGAGTACCCGAGTGCCGAACGCGAGCCCGAGTACCCTCGCGAGCCCCCCTGGCTGGAGCCGCAGCCGTACCGCGAGCCAGCCCGGGCGGAGCAGCCGGCCCCGCGGGAGGCTGCCCCCCGGTCGGACGCGCAGCCCCCGCCGCGGGAGAAACCGCTCCCCCAGCGCGAGGTCAGCCGCGCCGAGCCGCCCATGTCGCTGCAGCGCGAGCCCCCGCGGCCCGAGCCGCCGCCGCCGCCGCTCCCGCAGCTGCACTTGCAGCCGCCCCCACCGCGGGAATCGGCTTCCCGGGCCGAGCCGCAGCAGAGGCCGCCGAGGGAGACAGTGCGCCTGGAGCTGGTGCTCAAGGATCCCACCGACGAGAGCTGCGTGGAGTTCAGTTACCCGGAGCTACTGCTGTGCGGAGAACAGCGGGTACAGAAGATTCTTCCCTTCTCCCCCAGACCCCGGAGTCCTTCGGACCCGTCCGTCTTCCCCAGTGCTCTGCACCTTCAGACGCCCACCTGGCGCGTCTCGGATCGCCCGGAGGGGGCAGGGGCCGAGCGGGTGGATGCGTGCTTGGTGCTGTTTTCTTTCGCTCCCCCGCTTTGGCCAGGCTCCCACCCGGTTCCACCAACCCCCTTCGTGCGCCCTCTCCAAACGCTGCTCCGAGCCGGTTTTCCTCGGCACCTTTCGAAACCTCAGATTTTCTTCCTTTTCTTTCTGCGCCCCATACAGAATCTCGGGGCCCTGCAAGTTGCGCTGTTGGGTCTTCCTTGTGGAGCTCCAGCAGTCGTTCCGGTAGAAAGGAAGAGAAAAGGCTTGGGGGACACGCCCCCCAGTCTGAAGGCGAGGAATTGTATAACCCCCTCCAGTATCATCCTCAGCTTCATCACTACTAGTTACGCTTTGCGCTGAGATGTGCTTGCGAGCGTGGAGTGTTTTTCTTAATTGAAGGGATTTTAAAGTAATCTGAAATTTTCAGACTAAGGAGTCCACTTTAGGAATCAAGGAGAAGTGGTTAGTTATCTGGTTACTTATTTTTCTCCTTTGTGTTGGTATTGGTAAATCTTTGTTTTCTCTGGAGTTTTTTTTCACTGTAATTGAAAAGAAAGGAGCCTCTCCTGATCGGTCTGGCGCCTGCCGTCACATTCTCATTTCAGTGCATATCATTAGTTTATAAGCCCGAGTTGGAGGGTATTGCACTTGGCCGTTGTAATTTTTGGAGAATGATGGAAAAAAATCAACTTTGAATTAAAAAAAAAATGTATTGCAATCTATAGGTATGCTTTTGATGGAACTGGTAAGCCATTAACGGAGGTAGGAAAGAGGTGTTGGTAATTGTAATTTTTATTGTTGCCGGCTGGTAATTTTCAGATTTCAGATGATAGAGTAACAGTAATAGAACGGGTTTCTCTGTGGTTTGGTGATCACTCTGTTTATCTGGTTGGTTTTACAGTAGCACACAGGTCTGTTGGGCTCCAGAAGTCACTTGTTTTGTTTTCATCTACAGCTGTCTTTATAGTTGGAATGAAATGATTCCTTAGTATAAAAATACCATACAAACAGTGTCACTAGATTTGTTTATTTTAAGGCCAACTAAGCCTTTGATCATTATTTTGCAAATACTGTTGTGTGGTTAAATCATTACTAATTATTTGCAACCAAAATGAATTGTTAAGCGTAGGTAATAAGTAAATTGTAAAGGCAATGTGGTCATTTCCACATAACATTTTGCTCTTTAGACTAGCATTAGTGCTCCTATTATTTGTAAGTGTGATGTCATTTTTTTTTTTCCCCCAATAGAGTTCTGAAAATACTGGATTGGGGCGTTTTTCAAATAAATTGTATTTGATCTCCTAAGTAGGTTTGCAACTTTACTCCCTAATCTACTTCATAAATTACAGGTGAAAAGCAGCATATTTGGTGACAGCATATAATAAGAGCTAACATTTACTGAGTTCTTCCCATGTGCTAGATACGGTTTTAAGTACAGTGCATGGCTTATGGAGTTTGGTCCAGCAGAGCTCCATGAGGTAGGAACCATTATCCCTACTTTACAAATGAGGAGGCTAATGCACGGAGTGTTTACATGTAATCTTATTAGTACCTTTTTATAATTTTAGTACTAGTTCTTAATAAAGTAAAATTTCTTAAAATTAACTGGCATAGTTTAAATTTAAAACGTCCTGCCACAATGAACTAAAGTGAGAGTTATAGTAGCAATACAAAGACCTCTGTGTGACCCTCTTCTTGCCATGTAATATTCATGCCATGATAAATTATGTTTTTAATTATAAAAAAGTTCATTTTGCCATTAAATTATTGCCATTTAGTTAAACGAAATTAGGTAACTTGATAATATCAGAATTACTAGTGCCATGTTAATAGGAGAAAGATGAAGAACTCAGTTTAATTTTGCTGTTTATGCTATCAATTTGGGGATATCTTAGTCCAGTTTTCTTGCATATTCAACCATAAATAATTTTTCATATTCCACTGAACAAAAAAAATTCATTGTTTATACAATGCACCATTGCAACAAAGATTTGCCAGATTTCCTGTGATTACTCCCAATTAATGTATTTATTACCTAAGGAAGTGTAGAAACACTTTTCTAAAATCAAGTTGTCATACTTCCATGAAAGGAAATCCTAGAAAGAAACCATTAAAGCTAAGTGTGACCAATAGAATTGATCTGCAAAGTGGTGATACCCAAATTTGGTTTTTCTTCCCCTCAGGGAGAATCCACTTATTTTTAGGGATGTTTGTAGTATTTTCAAAATGGTTTTCATTTTGAGTTACTGTATTTGAAATACATGCCACATAGTAGGATAAGAATAGAAAGGGGAGAAAAAGAGATCTCGTGAAATTAAAAGAAGAAAAGCCTTCTAAAATTTTGAAAGCCATTTATCATTAAATAAGATTTTATTGATAGCTGTAGGTATAAAAAAAATCTGTTAAATATGTGAATACCATATATGTTGGGGTGTAATAAATCATCCCCCTTCATAAAAAGGAAATGAACAGTAAAACCCCAACTAATTGAGTGCAATCAATCTTTTCTATACTCTGGTTTTTACTGAGGAAAAGCACAATTAAATGAAAGTATGTTGGCAAAATAGGATAAATGAAACCCCTTGTAGGTTGTCAGAACACGAGTTACCTAAACCCTTACCCTTGTTATCTCTGTAGAGGATTGAGCCCTGCTTAGGGTGGTTCAGGATGATGACTGAGGCTTTGTTTACCATTTCTGGCTAAAGGGAAATAGTTCAATTTAGAAATAAATTTTGGCGGTAATTGATACACAAGAAATTCTTTTTTAACCCTTAGTAAACCAAAAAAACAGTTAACCAAAACATCCTTTGTGAACATTATTAATTGAACACTTATAGTAACAAAAAAATTATTACAGTGTTAATGTGATTATATTGCTACAAAATTCTGTGGTATTCCATTGCTTTTCATATTGCATATTTTGCATAACATGGAAGATTTGAAAATGATGCTAATGAGTTAACATCAAAGGACAAAACTATTGTGTCAGTTTTGCCTGTGGGTAGTTGGTAATTTTAGTATTTACTAATTTTCAGGTATTTTTTTCACCTGAGAAACGTAAACCTTACTTAGAGCCTTGATTGTGGTAGAGGGTTATTTCTTAACTGTGAAAGAAAAGGGAGTCAGTTTTCTTAGATTTATTTTAATGTACTGTGAAGAGTAAGAAATTTACTTCTGTTGCCTACATAAAGTACTTAAAGTATTTTAGGATGACTTATAAGGTAATTCTTATTAAAAACATGTATCTGTGTATTTGTATTTGTACGTATAAAATGGGTCAGACCAGTGGTAAGACTTAGTATTTGGGCTCACAGTGAAATGAAGGAACAGTTTATAATGACAAGCAAGGCCTGGAGGTTGCTCACAGTCCTTAACTTAAGTCTCAAGCTAAGGCTGTACCCTGGATGTGCCTAGTAGTTCTTGTTTCATTATCAATCTATTCCTGCTAGTTTATTTTCTTTCAGTATTTATATTTTCCATTGGTACTCCTATTGGGATAAAAGAGTCAATAAATATATTACCCATCACAATAGATAATTTAAAAAATCCTCAAATTATTATCTTTAAGCCTGAAGAGGTATTCCTTTATTTTAATGCTATAGTTATGATGAATTGTTTTGTTCATTCTGTCCATATTTTTTTGCCATACTTTTAAACTCAGCCTTTATGTCCAGAAAGAAGTGTCTCAATTTCAAAGTGTGCAAATCATCCCTTCTGTATTTTTTTTTCTTGCCCTTTAGGGTCAGCCAAATCTGTATCCAGTATTTCAGCTGGAAGACTTTCATTTTTATTACTTGAAGATGCTACTTGAGTAAAAATATCTAGCCATCTAGCCTTTTTTTGAAAAAATTAACTTTCTAGTCAATTTTCCATTACAGGTAGCTCCTGTTTTGGCTTCTTTGTATATTGAAAAACATACATATATGAAAGCTGTCTGCTACAGTAGTAAACTTGAGTAAAGAAGGTGATTTATCCTTCCTTTCTCTCTCTTTTTTTTCCTTCTTTTGGTAAAGTGATGGCAAACGTGGGATCCTAGCTGTGTCTTTTTTTAAACCAGGTGTTATAATGCTGGTTTTTTTCATTCTCCCCTGCCAGAACGAAGCCATGGTAATGTGATCTGTTTGCAGCAATTTTACTTCTCTAGCTTTGTTTAAAAGTAGTATGTATTCCCCCGAGTGGCTGTCCATTAACAGAATGTAGGTGACATTGAGTTTGTTGAAGCTGGGTCTCATCAGAAAGCTGTAGCAGCTACAGATACTCTAGTGGGATGAAAGCTGTAGCAACTACAGATAACTCTGGGCAAATGATTAAATGTTGACTCTAATTAATAATCTAGAGACTCTTTTAGAAGCATTTCCTGACCAAAGTAGTTCATCTTTCTTGGGAAGATCTCAAACTGCATTTATAAATGGCATTTTCATTTTTACCCAATTTTCTTGTGTTTTTTAGGCCTTTTTATTTTGGATGGGGTGACATGACCATAGATCATTTTGCAGGTAGAGACAGTTTGAAGTGTGTTTTCTAACCACCAAAAAAAACTTTAGAATGTCTAAGAATCCATTAAAACTACAAGTATTTTTGCTACAAACCAACATTTCTTTCTGGCTACTTCTAATGCTTCTAACAAATGTTTTGTTAATATTTGGAAACATTGACTGTCATTAAATTTAAAGACATTCAACTCTGGTTGAAATAATACTAATACTTCTATTTCTCTTCCCATTCACTTTGAATCAGAAGAAGCCCATTCACACCGAAGACCCATTTAATGATGAACATCAAGAGAGGCAAGAAGTGGAAATGTTGGCTAAGAAGTTTGAAATGAAATATGTGAGTATAAAAAAACTCTTCATTTAGGTAATTTTATCCAATTGGCCCCCTCTTTTTTTTTTCCTGTGCCTGGTTGGGAGGGCTTATATCCATTGCCCACTTTATCTTGTTCTCACAAATTGAATCCAAGTAAATGACTAGTCAAAAGATTCCGATCAAGGTTTGTAATAGTAGCATATATGCTATTATATACTATGTGTATGTATGTATATAATAGTAGCCATTATTTATTATACTTCTTCCAGAGTCCAGTTTGCTTAATGTATAGTATTTCTAATTCTTAGAACAAAACTACAAGGTAAGTAATACTGTGTTTTACAGATGAACAAACTGAGAATCTGAGGTCAAGGTTAAGTAACTGATCTAAGGTCACAGAGGCAGGAACTAAGCTGCATATCCAGGTCTGTCTAGCTCTAATCCTTTGTGCTTTCCACTGCCATTGATAAGGCTAGCTTTAATTCTGGTAGTGTAGTAGTTCTCAAGCCTTCCTGTCTCTTAAGAGCTTGAGATGATAAATGTGTATACTTCTGGACCCCGGATCGTTTTCAGTCAGAAGCAGCACAAAATTTCTTTGAAAGTATCTTGTTCACCTTAAAAATTCATATACATTTTATATTCTCTAGCTCAGTAATTTTGTGTTTTAATATAAAGATAAATTTTAATTACCTAATCGTGAAGTTGCCTAACATTTTTCCTCACATTTTCTAGTATATTTGGTTTTGTAGGAAGACCACCCCCCACCCCCTGATGTTTATCCTATGGCTTTAACTTCTCCTTGGCACTTTGCTAAAGCATAACCCATGAGAAGTAAGACTTTGCCCTTCTGTTTCCCTGTGAGCATTGAAAAGTATCTCACACTGGCCCTGTCATTCATGTTATCCTCAAAAATGCAACTAGGATCTTGCTTGGCTCCTTTTGGTAATAAAGAAACTGTCTACGGGTGGGGGAAATACATAAGAATAGTTTGGAATGTGGGTCAAGATCTAGGACATACTTTTCCACCTTTGGTGAGGTATTTAACCTCTTTGGGCTACAGTTTTCTTATCTGTAAATGGGGAGGTTCATATTTTTCAAAGCCCCTTCTGGATTTTACTCTAATATCTCTTACTTTTAAATGTGGGCTTCTAATTAAAACATCTACTGGACCAAACAAATACATCAGTGGGCCAACTCCAGCTCTTAAGCCCTAGTTTGAGACCTTGGTATACTTGCTTCACTGTATTTTTTTCTAATATATTTAACTCATTGGTCCATCTGCTTTTACATTCTGCCCTTTATCATCTGTGAGCAGAGTGGTTGGTGGTACATGTGGGAGGATATGCCATTCCTGTTGTGAAGGAGAATGCATTTCTAAGAAGTTTCAGGGAACTGAGTAATCAATTGGGGGTTTTCCAGATATGGGGAAAAATAAGATATATTGATATATGGCTGGGTCTATGGGTGATGATAGTGATAAATTTTGTGGTTTGTGGGGAGGCCTGAGGCAAGTTTATGGGCGTTTTATGGTCATCAGTACAGGTAGCTGTTGCTTGTGCTAGAGAATTGCATGCAGTGGAGCAGGCCTCCCTCTGGAGGGAGAAGGGAAGGAGAACCAGGAATATAGGACATGTCCTTTTTCTTGCAGTAGTTGCACAGGGAAGAAGGATTGAGACAGTTTTGCTAGTTGAAAAACAGTGATAACAAATTAAAGGGAGTATAAAACTATAAAAGGAGAACCCTGTATTGAATGGTTTGTAATTTTTTCTCCCTAGTCTGCCCTATTTTTATTGCCTTGCCCTATTTCCTGTTGTGTTACTCTTCAGGTATCAGTTGCTAAATTTGGGAGGGGGAGGACAATATAACTATTCAGTACTTACTTTTACCTAGTGTATACTAAATTGGTTGTTGTACATAAATCTTATTAAATAGCGAAGTCCAGGTTTTGACATTTCTACTGCTCTGTAGGCTCCAAATTTATCCTGTTGGTTACTGTAGGAAGGAAGCAGGATAGTTAAAGAGGCCCACATACCTTTCCTCATTCCCAATTTTTTTTTAATTGAAGTGTAGTTGATACACAATATTATTTTGACTTCAGGAATACAACACAGTGGTTCAGCCGTTACTCACATTATTAAATCCTCACCCCCACTAGTCTGGTTACTATCTGTCAACATAGGAAGATGTTAGCAAATAATTGGCTGTATTCCCCATGCTGTACTACCATTCCCATGACCAACTTATATTATGATTGATCATTTTTGTGCCCTTTTATCCACCTCACTCTTCCCATCCACCCACCCCAGACCCTCACCAGTGGTAAACATCAGTTATTTCTCAGTATCTGTGAGTCTTTTGCTGTTTTGTTCATTTTGTTTTGTTTTTAGATTATACAAATAAGTGAAGTCATGTGGTATTTGTCTTTCTCCACCTGGCTTATTTCACTGAGCATAGTAACTCTTGGTCATCCATGTTGTTGCAAATGGCAGGATTTCTTTCTTTTCTTATGGCTAAATAATATTCTATTGTGTATATGTACCACATCTTTTTTCTGAGGCCATATTTACTCTAGAGCAGGGAATGAGGTTCAGTTTGATGGGTGTAGACTTGTTCTCTAAGCCTTCTAAGGCATAAAATAACCTGTGGTGTTTGGAAGATTTCTTTAAGTGATTTTTATATTACTCCAGCCATCTGGAGTACCATGAAAGATATGCCATCCTAGAAGTGAATATACTTTCAGTACTCTAAATGAAAGCACTTAGCACACAGTACCTGGTGCCTAGTAGGGCCTCAGTTAAGACTGTTTGAATCTGAGTGACTCTCTGAATAGGAAGACATGTATTCTGCCAGGCATTTATTAGGATTTACGAAAAGCATTATGACTTTAACATCTTACTATGCCATGTAGACTTTAAATACCACCTTTGATGGTTAATTCTATGGATTCGGGACTCTTAGAGCCCTAGTTGCTTCATATTTCTTTAAAAGGGAGTATAAGAGTAGATTTGATGGTATAAAAGTAATTCTGAGCAATCTTACAAATAAAGCAGTTGATCAAATGTTTTTGATAAAAAACAAAGTGTATTTATAAGAAGTCTTGACTTTGTTTAGGTATGGCTTCTAAAATTAGTTTTGTCCGGACATGTTTTAAAGAGTGGCAGTGTTTTAGAGTAAGTATATAATTTCTGATGAGCAACTTCTTCATTGTAAATACTATTTAATTGAGTGGAAAGGAAATTTATTTGTATGCTTAAAATAATTATGTATTGTTCAAAAACTCTTTTGAACTGTGAGACTAATACAGGTGGATGTTAGAATACATTTATACACTCTGGCTGGTGGTTATAAGATTCTGTCAGTTACTTATATTACTAGATGACCATCCACACTTGCTGAGGGGTTAGAGCTTCCTTGGAACCTTCGTCGGCTGGTTTTCCTCCCTTTTGACCTTACGTTATGTCTGGTCCCTATCATCTTGCTAGGGATTTGGGTAAAGCAGGTTGGGCAAACTTGTTAATACCACCACAAAATAAATTCTACTTATGAAGCACAGATACCAGTATATTTAGGTTCTATGGAGAAATAATAGTATGGTAACACATATATAATAAAAACATATTTTAACCTTTTAAAACAGAGGTTGTGGGGGTCTTAAAGGGCAAGGAAAAATTCTCAAATGATAATTTCTTTATCACAGTTGCCAATTGTAATTGCTTGCCATAACATGCCCTTTTTAAGATTTCTTGGCCTCTGAACTAAGTTCTCATCAACTTCCTCAAATCCCTTAGGAACAATTGAGAATCAGCAGTTTTATGATGTTTGGAAGGTCCTGTATCTGTAAATGGTAATTACAGAAATCTGTGTACTCTACTGCTGTGATGTTAAGTCAGCCCTTGACTTCCACTGACTTCAATTCTGTTCTTTTTTCTTGGTAGGTTAAGGAAATCAGCAGAGGTAGAGAAAGATAAGGTTGTAACAGGGCTGGAACCAAATAGAGAAGTTCTGTGACCAGGGGATAGTTTCTTCTCAATGCTAAGACTGGAATCTAGCAATCACTGTCATGTACCCTCTGTTTTCCATAGGTGATAAGTGAGTGTTGGTTATTAGTTAGGTTTCTTGTTACCTGGAGGCAGTTGGGGGTCCTGTCCTAAGAACATCTTGTTTGTTTTCCAGCTTAGTGGTACAGTGTAATCAGACTGCATTGGCTTGAAACACTGATTATCAGGTTAAGCAGGTACTAATGACTCAGTAAGCCATTTCTTGTGAGTCATAATGAACTAGTGTCCTAGAGAAATAGATTTAAAAAGGTTTTTTCATTTTAGATGTAGCAAAACTCAAGAGTTTTTAATTTGAAAATAAATTTTGTAATTTTATAAGATGCACTTATTGTATAATCTCTGTGCCACCTGCAAAGTTCCAGAGAATTTTTCAAGTAAGAGTGATTCTACTACAGGAAGTTTTGCTAAGGATGCTGAAAGAGAGAGCAGTTCAAAATAGGACTGGTAGGGAAGGCACTGTGATAAAGTATAATCTTTTGCCAATCTGTCTTGAGTTCCTCCAGGTGAAATTTTAATATTTGTGAATTAACTGGTTTATGCCTTTTTGGTAACTGTCAAAAGTTTGGCTCCAGTGTATACCATTTGCACATCACTGAGGTTTGGCATTACTGGGGACTAGAGAACTGAAGACAGGAGAACAGAAAAGGGAGGTAAGGCATAAAGCAGGCCAGGGAAGTTTTTCCAGTAAGGCCAGAAAGTGAGGAAAAATAAATTGAGGCCAAAAAACAGTACACTGGTGGCCTCTGTGGTGAAGAAGGGAACCGGGATGTGCCTGACAGTAAATGCATTGTCAGAAAACCATTAATGGAAGAGCAAAGACTTTGTAACCCTGGCTCTTGGAGAGGGATATAAGAAAAAGCCCTTCCCCACAGTAGGACTGGAAAGCAGAACTGTGTAAGGAGTCAAGAACCGAATGGTATTGAACATTTGGTGGTCCAGACCTAAAGAAAATAAAATTTCTTGAAT